CAGGTACTGGGCGTTTTAAAAAATGAGAAGGAGCAGAGTTTAGAAGATGGGCTTGTGATCGGAAAGTCGCAGGTTCACCTCCCGGTACCGTCAACATCAAAATGTGGGTGGAAAAGGTGAAACATCCACACCTCCCTCCACCCTCATTCGCCCCACTCTGGGCCCCTGAGCAAGGCCATTAACCCCCACCATCTGCTCCCTAAACAGGTCTCTCTTGAAAAATGAGTTCTCGTGGCTCAATGAGACTACCTATATAAATAAAGGGTAAATGAAAAAAAGAGAAGAATAAGGAGCAAAAGTCCAAAGGAAATCTTTGAAATACATGAAATCCCAAAGAAATTTGGCTGAAACAATTATAATCTTCAAAAATAAACAAAGTCTTGCTCCTTGGAAACCAAACTTTAAAAAGATTGAATAGCTTTAAACATTTACGTGGTTCAGTGTTTGCATATTCTAAAAGTGACAGATACAATAAACAAACAAATTTTAAAATAACCTAAGTCTCGAGAGTCTGAGATCCAAAAAAACAGTTAAAAACAAAACCATCACCAAACACATTAGTGAGTTAATATTCTAATAGTGATTTTTCCTCAGGTCCACATAATTAATTAGTTCCATTTTAGTAATATGTGAACATGGGTTAAATGTTTTTATTTAATTTTTATTTAGCTTGTTGAATAAAGTATTTTACTATTCAGCTAACTCATCAAATATTTTCATATATCTGTGCTCATTTTTTTAGCATTCCCTGGAGTAATTTTGATTTGATGGGAACATACAATGATGACAATACATATACATTATTATTATTTATTATTATTATTGTTGTGTCATAATCTCTCAGAAATTGGTTTCTCAGATCATACCATTGTTTGGTTCTACAACTATCTTTCAGATCGGAGGCAATGTGTTCAATATATCAATCAACCTTTATTTATACAGGTAAATCCCATTGAGCCTCGAGGACTCATTTACAAGAGAGACCTGATTTCAACAAAGAAATCAATAATATAGGTACAATAATGGTATTTCCTTCAGTTATTTAACAGTTAACAATGGTGTACCGCAAGGCTCAGTCTTAGGACCCACCCTCTTTACAATCTACATAGGTAACGTAGGTCAGAGCATCCCTGATGCACACTTCTACGATGATGACACAGTTGTTTACTGCCGAGCTAAAACACTTACTGGCTTTCCAGCTTTTGCAATTCGCTTTCGACATCATCCAGTCAGATTTGTTCTATCTCAAACTTGTCCTAAATGCCGACAAAACCAAAGGGATGCTTTTTTCAAACAGGAAAAAAAAAAAAACAGGGAATTGGAGCAGCTGTTTTCAGGACTGTGATCTCCCTGGCAGCACTCATGAATGGTGGGAATAATCTGGAGAAGCTGTGAGCTCGACTTTTGGAGTAAAGGATCAATTCGGCTGTTTTGGAGTTTCCATCAGAGAATATGTACAGCAAGACTTTAAAGGCAGAAACAACAATTCACGAGTTCTGCCTGACCCAAACTGTGGCCTTGATGCCGGACTTCTCTCAACTCCTCCTGGAATGTTTTGAAAACAACAAAGATGCTTTGACTGTTTCCTCACCCCTCCCTTCCCCAAGGCCGTGGACATGTTACAGAACCTCATCTGAGCTGAAGATGAACATCACCTCTTATCTGGACAATGGCTGGGGGGCGGGGGGCTCTGGACTATGCTACGACTTTCCCTTAAAAATTCAATGTTTTCACCATCTATATATAAATGTATAACGTCTGTTTATGTTGCTTTGCTGTGGTAGGTTTTTTTGATGCCTCAAATTGTGCCCTGTCTAGGACACGGTGTGAGAGATCTTTTTTTTATACCGTCTCTCCTCGTGTTTTCTTTCCTTTTCTTAACCAAGCAAAATATTATTCTGAATAAGAATAAGAAGGCCGCGCTAATTATTTTTAGCCGCAGCTTGGTGCACTCCGCCCATCTTCGGACAACTGTACGTACATATTCCCGTTATATCTCGGTGCAATGCCAATAAAGTTTATTCTGATTCTTCTTCTGATTCTAACTGCGACTTTCCTTCCCTCCATTGACTACGGTGACATTATTTACATGAACGCCTCTACAAGCATTCTGCAGTCTGCAGATGTTGGATGCTGTCTATCATGGTGCGCTAAGATTCATAACTGGCTGTAACTATCGTACCCATCACTGCACCCTGTATTCGCTGGTTAACTGGACATCCTTAACTTCACGCAGACTTTCTTACTGGCACATTTTCATTTTTGAATCACTTCTTGGTCTACTGCCTTCATACATCTCCTCCTACATGTCTCTGTGTGAGTGGAGCTACAGTGTGCACTCTCAGGACATTATTACATGCAGTGTCCCCTCAGTGAGGACTGAACTAGGCAAAAGGTTCTTCTCCTACTCCGCTCCTGTTTCCTGGAATATCTTGCAGAAAGATTTGAAGCTCTCGACCTTGACCTCTGTAAGTGGCTTTAAATATCTGTTAAGATCCTGGCGAGAACCAATGCAGACATGTTCCTGTTTTTAGTATTCTACACCGCCTCGTAATCTAGCTGTTTTTTAACTACGTTTCCTTTTAATTATCCCTTTATCATTTTGTTTTCAGTTGTAAGAAAAAAATATATGCATCATTTTTGATTGTCTATCGTTGTCATTGTTGTCCACTGTTGTCATCACTCTGTTATAATTCAGGTCTCTTGTAAATGAGTCCTCGTGACTGAATGGGACTAACCTGTTTAAATAAAGGTTGAATTAATAAAAAAAACCACACATTTTTGTCTTTTCAGATAAATAGTGTTAACTTACTTTTTATGTATATCAGTGTTTCAGTACCCTGAAATTACTTCTGTTGTGAGTTGGCTCTATATTCATTCAACCTTTATTTAGACAGGTAATCCCATTGAGCCTCGAGGACTCATTTACAAGAGAGACCTGATTTTAACAAAGAAAGATGACAACAATGGACAACAGCAACAAAAATAAACAATTATAAAAGTCTTACTGCAGTTTTTTTTTTTTGTTTTTTTTTTAACAAATAGGATGGCTAAAAGAAAAAGGTAACAAAAAAAAAAACAGCTAGATTCTAAGGCGAATGTATAAAACTAAAAACAGGAACATGTCTGCATTGGTCCCTGCCAAGAGTCCAACAGGTTCTTAAAGCCACTTAGAGAGGTCAAGGTCGAGAGCTTCACTTGTTTTTGTAAGGTATTCCAGGAAACAGGAGCAGAGTAGGAGAAGGCCCTTTTGCCTAGTTCAGTCCTCACTGAGGGAACACTGCAGGTAATAATGTCCTGAGAGCTCACGCCGTAGCTGCACTCACGTAGAGACATGTAGGAGGAGATGTATGAAGGCAGCAGACCAAGAAGTGATTTAAAGATGAAAATGTACCAGTGAGAGAGTCTGCGTGAAGTTAATGAAATCCAGTTAACCAGTGAATACAGGGTGCAGTGGTGGGTACGGTAATCACAGCCACGTATGAATCTTAGTGCACCATGATAGACAGCATCCAACATCTGCAGGGTCCTTATAGAAGTGTTAATGTAAATAATGTCACCGTAATCAATGGAGGGAAGGAAAGTCACAGATACAAGGCGTTTCCTAGCATTCAGGGTTAGACAGGATCTGTTTCTGAAAAAGAAACCCAGTTTAACTTTCAGTTTCTTTACCAAGTTTTCCACATGGAGCTTAAAAGAGAGATGTGAGTTGACCAAGATACCCAAATATTTATAGGAATCAACAAACTCAATGGGGACACCATTTGAGGATAAAATCGGAGGAAGAACTGCTGGGACCAACTTCCTATTTGAAAAAAGCATCCCTTTGGTTTTGTCGGCATTTAGGACAAGTTTGAGGCAGAACAAATCTGTCTGGATGTAGTTGAATGCAGCTTTCAAAAGCTGGAAAGCCTTAGCAACAGTTTTAGCTCGACAATAAACAACTGTATCATCAGCATAGAAATGTATGGATGCATCAGGGATGTTTTTACCTACGTTCTGTATGTAGATTGTAAAGAGGGTGGGTCCTAAGACTGAGCCTTGTGGTACACCATTGTTGATTGTTAAATAACTGGAGGAAGTACCATTATGTTGAACACATTGCCTCCGGTCTGAAAGATAGTTAGAGAACCAACCAATGGTGTGTTCTGAGAAACCAATTTCTGAGAGCTTATGACACAAGATGTTCTGATCCACAGTATCAAAAGCTTTAGACAGGTCTAAGAAAAGTGCAGCACAATAATCCTTAGCATCCAGTGCTTCAACAACGTCATTAAGAACCTTCAGTGAAGCAGTGGTTGTGCTGTGTTGTTTCCTGAAACCAGATTGATGTGGAGATAAGATGTTAAATGAGTCCAGGTAATTTTTGATTTGAGAGTTTATCAGTTTTTCTAGAACCTTGGCTAAAATGCAGAGTTTAGAGATTGGTCGATAGTTGTTCAGTGAGGTGGGGTCTCCTCCCTTCAGCAAAGGAAGAACAAAGGCTGTTTTCCAAGTGCCTGGGATGGAGTTTTGTCTTATGGAGAGATTAAAGATGTGGGTCACAGGGACTGTGATGATATGAGCAGCCAGCCTTAAGAAGTAAGGTGGAAGTTAATCTGGTCCTGCAGATTTTTTAGGATCAAGACCTTTTAACAGTTCATTAACCTCACTGACTGAGAATGGAGAAAAAGATAAGGAGTGATTAACTGAGGATTGACTTGTAGGAGGGATTTGATTTGTAGAAGTTTGGTTATTAAGTGAAATGGCTGATTTTCCATTAGTGACTGTGTCAAATAAAGAACTAGAAGCAACAAAATGTTTGTTGAAACAGTTCAGGATCTCGTGCTTATTTGACACAGGAACAGAGTTAACGAGAAGTTGTGCTGGGAGGTCAGATGATTGGGTGGGTGCCTGAGAGAGATTTGATGGTTTTCCAGAATCTGTTGGGGTCATTTAGATTTTTGGAGGTCTGAGATAAGAAATAGTTGCGTTTTGCCGCTTTGACAGCAGTTGTACATTTATTCCTCATCTGTCAAAAACTCAACCAATCAGTGTCTGAGTCAGATTTTCTCGCTGTGGCCCAAAGATGATCTCTCCTGTGCAGGAGGTCAGCTAGCTCTGGAGTAAACCAGGGGCTGTCTCGTCCCATTATTCTGAACTGACGAAAAGGAGCATGTTTGTTCACAAAATAAATGAAACTATTATGGAAATAGTTCCAAGCGGAGTTCACGTCATCAATTAATAGAATACGATGCCAGTCAAAGTCAGACAGATCCCAGAGGAATGACTGTTCACAAAAATGTTTCAGATCCTTTTTTGAATTAATCTGGGCTTAGAAGGTGGAAGTTTAATATCTCTCAAAGCTGCTGTCACACAATGATCACTCAAAATATTGGCAAATACACCTGTACCAGGGAATTTGTGAGGCATATTAGTTAGAAACAGGTCTAAGATGGTGGATTTTTCAGGACGGTTTTTGTTTAATCTAGTGGGAGAGTTGATCAATTGGGTAAGATTGAGAGACAGGCAACATTCCTTGAAATTATCACAGATGGGGGGTTCACTTATTCCAGTCAATGTTGAGATCTCCTGCCAAAAGGATCTCTTTGAATTTTAAATTACCAAGAAATTCCATCAGAAAGGACAGAGCCTCAGGTGTTGCTGAGGGTGGACGGTAACAACAGACTACAGATAATATCTGGCCTCCATTCAAGGTGATGTTTACAGCTAAGGCATCAATTTGGGTTGGAATTGTTTTAGAAGACACAAGACTAGCAACCAAAGAATCTCTGATGTAAACAGTGACCCCCCCCCCCCCCTTTTTTTTTTTTGACGATCACAGCGGTAGATGTGATCCATTGATTGCCAGGTCATTATTGAGTACAGATTTGTTGAGCCAGGTTTCAGAGATGAAGATTACATCTGCCCCAGAAGAACTGACCAGAATTTTCAAGGCATCAAGTTTTCTCAGAAGGCTACGTGCGTTTACATGCAGAAAATGAAGCCCAGACATGTTCTTAAAGTCTGTGTGAGTGGAGCTACAGTGTATATATATATATATATATATATATAAATAAATACAAATCAATATATATATATATTTATTTTTTATTTTTTTTATTTTTTTTTTTTTAATTATTATTTTTATTTTATTTATTTATTTATTTATTTTAATTTATATATATAAAATATATATAATATATAAAAAACTGAATTGAATTGATGACCTGACTGAAAATTGTTGGATTGTATACCTGGATTATTGAGCATGCTTCTTTCTTTTCATTGGCAGGGTTTTTGGTCTACTCTCGCGAGAATACTGATGTGTCTCACGAGATAGTGACGTCATTGAGTGTTTACGCGGGAATTGTTGTCGATACTTGTTCCGGAAGAAAAAAATCTGCAAATAGAGCTCAAAACCGGACTTAATACGGATTAAACTGTTGTCAGGCTTTATTTTATTTAAGGTAATGTCGCTTCCTTTGTCACAGCTATGCTAACGCAGTATGCTAACTAGGTCCCGGCAGGCATGGCGATCTGTGTTTTACATTTTTAATAACAAGCAGCTTGTTTCTGCTTTTTGTAAGGGCAGTCATGTTCTCCGACCTGAGTGCCCAGAAGGACGGCTCCTCTCTGCTCTGCCCCCCGGCCTCTGAGGACCAGGGGCCGGTGTTTGAGAGAGAGATCCCGGTCTACAAACCCTGCTCGGAACGCTACGCTGTTGGGGAGCGGAGCTTCAATCGTCAGTATGCTCACATTTACGCAGCTAGACTCATGCAGATGAGGCCCCTGCTATCAGAGAGAGCGCAGCAGAAGTGGGGTAACAACACCAGACACTCCGAGACATCTCATTTATACTTTAAGGACTTTTCTGATGTATTATTTATGTCTATATCAGGATCAGGTGTGTCTATCAAGAAGCTGTGTGATCTGGAGACAGGAGAGCAGTGTTGCATTGTGGGAACTTTGTTCAAACGTATGGACTTGCAGCCTTCTATCCTCAGAGAAATCAGTGAGGAGGTCGGTGGCCACCCTGCACCCATTTTAACATTAAATCAGCTGCTCTTATGTTTGTGATTTAAAACATTTTCCATCTGTCTATAGCACAACCTCCTGCCTCAGCCTGCACGAGCCAAATACATTAATGAAGCAGATGAGCTGATTCTGGAGGATGAGCTACAGAGGATAAAGCTCGAGGGTAAAATTGACAGAGACAAGTGCGTCACGGGTCAGTATTATTCAGGACACCACAATCAGCTGTGAACGTGTGTCCTGGTTGTGATTTTATTTGCTTCTTGTTATCTCAGGTAGTGTTGTTGCAATATTTGGAGCTGAAAAGAATGATGGCAAGTTCACGGTTGAGGACTTTTGCACGGCAGATCTCCCTCCACAGACACCAAGGCCTGCACTCAGCTCTAACAGGTAAACTCACACACACACAGTCCCAGCCATTTGGTGATGGCTGCCTCTAACTGCTCTGTCTGCTCAGGTTTGTGCTGCTGGCCTCGGGCCTCGGTCTCGGCAGTAGTAACGCTGACAGCATGTTGGCGCTACAGCTGTTGGTCGACATGGTAACAGGGCAGCTGGGTGACACGGGAGAGCAGAGTGGGGCAGCAACAATTTCCAGGGTTCTACTGGCTGGAAATCTGCTAAGCCAAAGCACCCAGGACAAGGACACATCAACAAAGGTGGCAAGACAACATATACTTGGGATTATTGTATATTTTTTTAGAAGTAAACATCTTAAACTAGTTTGCTTTAAACATTTATCCAATTTTTTTTCTTTCTTTTTACAGGCCAAGTACCTCACAAAGAAGACCCAGGCTGGCAGTGTGGAAGCCATTCGATTGCTTGATGAGCTGCTGCTTCAGCTGGTGGTGAGTCTGCTGCTGTGTATAAATGTATTCTTATTGCAGTATGTGTCACAATAGACTGCCTTTTGATAACTGGGATATTCAAAAATTAGATATTTATGCATTGAAACTGATATTTTTTCACTGTTCCAAACACTGTCTCAAAAGATTGACATAACAAATCCAGTTCTTATTCACTCCTGTGAGGTTTGGTCAAAGGTACATAAAATGTTAATGCTTCCACATCAGGTACAGACATATGCGTCTCTTTGGAATAATCCTGCTATATGTATCAGTAAAGCACCTGTGTTTTGGGGCAGTGGCATTCGCGTGGCATACGCACCATTGGTGATCTGTATTAAAGATGGACAATTTATGTATGGGGACTTAACTCGTACATTTGGATTGGAAGGCAAAGCAAATTCTTGGAAATATTTACATATGAGACACCGCGTGACCTACAAAATTAAAGACACTGTAGAAAACAAGATTTTAGATTTCCATTAGGATGCCGTGTGATCGCCACACGACTTCTGTTTGATAAACTGTTAAATTATAGTTTGAGTGGCGAGTCATTAAATATCAAACTTATTTGGTAAAGAGATTTGAGAAAAGAGTACACAAATGAAAAATGGCTGGATGTCTTATTGGAGAGTGGTAAATATGTGACGGAGGCCAGAAATAAATTCATATAGTACAAGGTGTTACATAGATATTATCGTACTCCTACCAGACTGCACAGAATGAAACTAAAGACAGGCAATTTGTGTTGGAAATGTTAAAAACGAGGTGGGGACATATTTACACTGTTTTTGAGAATGTTCTCTGGCTGCATCTTTTTGGACTAAGGTTTGAGAGGTTTTGGGCACCTGGTTGACTCAGAAGTCCCTCAGACCCCAGAACTGTGTTTACTGGGAGACAGATCTCAAATGCCAGACATCTCCAAAGGAGTCCTTTCATTTATTATGGTCGGCCTTGTGACTGCATCCAGGATCATCTTAAAACATTGGAAGACCACAAAGCGCCCAGAGTTCAATCTTCTTCTTTCAGCTTTTCCCTCTTCAGGGGGTCTCTGCAGCGAGTCATCCTCTTCCATCTCTGTCCTCTGCATCCTCTGTCTTCACTCCAACTACATGTCCTCTCTAACTGCATCCATATATCTCCTCTTTGTCTTTTTCCTGGCAGCTGTATTTCTAACATTTTTCCTTCTCTGCATCATGTCAGCCAGCTCTCTACCATTGCCTGTCATTGTCCCCACATTTAGAGTTGCAACCCTCAGTCCTACGAAGCACCCTGAGTTCAATGATTGGATTAAATCGATGGTAGACGCAGCCTCAGTAACCTAAAAGGAAGCAGGGACACAGATTGGGACTGTTTTTGAGACTCACTAAAAATAGTTATGCAAGACCTTTATGTGACATAAAATTATACTGTTTTGTCTTATTTATTTTTATTTTCCTGATTTTGTGAATTCTTGAATTATCCCAATTAAGTACAGAAATGCTTTCCCTTTTTTATATCGTCACTGTAATCTGTAATGTACTGTTACCCTGGGAGTGGGAAATAGGGTGGGGTGCACCATCCTTTATGTTTATTCTTTATCTTCGTTTTTTACAAGTTATGCTTTGTTTTAAAAAATTATATGTTCTGAAAATCAATAAAAAACTTTAATTACAAAAAAATTTAGATATTTAAGTTGCCTTGTGGGAGGAACCAAGTGTCAGTGCTGTGTTAGGAAGCAATAACGGATATATATATTTGTCTTAAACATAAAAATTAAAAACCCAACAAAACTGTTAAATATTGATGAATATATGTAAAGTAAGGTTTGCCATGGCGACAACGTACATCTGCTTCCTGAGAACCTTGGTTCAAGTTATCGTGTACGTGTGTGTAATTAAAAGAAAACATTTCACTCTAATGAAATCTTAGCAAAATGAAGTAACCATACAATGACCAACTTTACAGGTTTTCCACCCAGATGAGATGTGAGATAAAATAAATGGGGGAAAAATGTAGATGTGTTAAGAAAATAACTTGGTTTATTTATTTTAAGACTGTTTTTCTTATTTCAATTTTGTGTGAAGCTGCATGTTTTCTCCTGCTTTTCTTAAGGCTTCGGTGCCGGTGGATGTAATGCCGGGGCAGTATGACCCCACCAACTACACGCTCCCTCAGCAGCCCCTCCACAGATGTATGTTTCCCATGTCCTCTGTGTACCCCACACTACAGCTGGCCTCCAATCCATATGAGGCCACCATCGATGGAGTTAGGTAGGTGATCAGGTGTCAGACATTTAATCTGGAGTGAAGTTGTTCAGGACACAGATTTAGTTTCTTTCTGCAAAGGTTCTTGGGCACTTCAGGCCAGAATGTCTGCGACATTCAGAGTTACAGCAGCATGGACAGTCACCTGGAGATATTGGAGGAAACACTTCGGCTCAGACACCTGGCCCCCACAGCACCTGATACTCTAGGTTGGTGGAGTATCAAGTAAACAAGGCTACTTGTGGTTCTAAAGGCAGTGTTGGGTCATTTCTGACTTTTTGTTTATTTCAGGTTGCTACCCGTTTTATCAAAAAGATCCTTTCATCTTGGAAGATTGTCCCCATGTTTACTTCAGTGGCAATGCCCCAGCTTTTGACTCCAAGCTCATCAAAGGTCAGTGAGATGTGTGTGGGACAATCCACGTTAGAAAACGTGGTGCACATAATCACAAAAATGTCAGAATAAAAGGTGCATCTCAGAAAGCTGGAATATCCTAAAAAAAATCTTCTATTCTTTCAGTCATTTCAGAAAGTGAAACTCCTAAATTATATAAATTCATTATCATACCATACCACTTTATTTTTAGAGCACTTAAAACGGCAACAAGGCCAACCAAAGTGCTGTACAGCAGAAAACAAACTAGCAAAGCACACAGCAAAACAAAAAATAAAGTGAAATAAAATATAGATACAAATAGCAGAAGTTAATAACTAAATGGCGAACACTGTAAAATACAGACGGGTTCAAAACAGATCACAGTGTTAAAATCCAGGAAATAAAAGTGCTTTTAAGCAAGACTTAAAAACAGTGAGACAAGGGGCATGCCTGACAAGCAGTGGTGTCATTCCACAGTCTTGGGCCTGCAACAGAGAAAGCCCTGTCACCTCTGAGCTTATGATGGTTTCCTGGAACTGAAAAAAGCATCCGAGCTGCTGACCTCAGAGAGCGCCGTGGGACATATGGCTGCAGAAGATCAGTAAGATAAGAGGGTGCAGAACTGTTCCGTGATTTAAAAACATACGGGAGTACTTTGAACTGAATTTGAAGGTGAACTAGTAGCCAGTGCAGTGAGGCCAAAACTGGTGTAATGTGCTCCCTATGGCCTGTACCAGTTAAAAATTGGACTGCAGAATTTTGGACAAGTTGTAGTCGTGCAGTGGAGGTCTGACTGATTCCAAACAGAAGCGGATTGCAGAGCCTAGATGTTATGAATGTGTGTATCACTGTCTCCAGGTTATTTTTGGACAGTATGGGCTTCAGTTAGACAGTCGCCTCAGCTGGAAAAAACAGGTTTTAACAATCATGTTTACTTGAATGTTAAGTTTCATGTAAGGGTCCATTGTCACGCCCAGCTTTGTGACTCTTTGTTTAACGGTGCTAGAGAGGAGAAGTCGATACCGTGGTTCTTGATTGTGCCATTAGGAGGGAACAACATGACTTCAGACGTCTTCTCATTAAAGCTTAAGAAATTTAAAGGCATCCAGTCCCTGATGTCAGCCAGGCAGTCAAGAAGAGGTTGAGTAGAACGTGTACCACTGTGCCTTAGGGGGAAGTAAATTTGAGTCATCCGCATAGAAATGAAAGGGTATGTTGTGTTTACGGAAAACAGCACCAGGTATAAAGAAAAGAGAAGAGGGCCGAGGATGAACCCCTGCGGTACCCCCCCCACAGAAAAGTTGCCATTACACACAGAGTGAAATATTTCAAGCCTTTCCTTATCATTTTGTTGATTATGGCTTATAGATGATGAAAAACCAAAATTCAGTATCTCAGAAAGTGAGAATATTGTGAAGAGGTTCAATATTGTAAACTCCTCGTGTCACACCCTGATCAGCTGATTAACTCCTAAACATGAGCTACATACGTTTTATTCTTAAAGTCCAGCCACTCCTGAACCAGAGACAACATCAGAAGTGTCTTAAATGCAGAGGAGACAAAGAACTGGACTGTTGCTCAGTGGTCCAATGTCTTCTTTTAAGATTAAAGTAAACTTTGCACATCATTTGTAAATCAAGTCCCATAGTCTGGAGGAAAAGTGGAGAGGAACAGAATCCACGTTGCTTGAAGTCCAGAGTTTCCACAGTCAGTGATGGTTTGGGGTCCGTGTCCTCTGCTGGTGTTGGTTCACTGTGTTTTCTGAAGTCCACAGTCAGCGCAGCAGGACATTTTAGAAAACTTCATGCTTCCTTCTGCTGACGAGCTTTATGGAGATGCTGATTTCATTTTCCAGCAGGACTTGGCTCCTGCCCACACTCACAAAGATACCAGAAACTGTCTGTGGAATATTCTCATTTGATCAGAAACTGAATTTTTTTATTTTTGTCATTATTTGTAAGCCATCCTCATCAAAATGAAAATAAATAAATCAATGATCAATAATATAAGTTTCATTTTCTGAAATGACTGACAAGAAAATTTGAACTTTTTCATGATATTCTAATTTTATGAGATGCACCTGTGTTATGTTTTTGTCTTCTGCCAGGTCCTGATGGTCAGGAAGTCCTTTTGGTTACTATTCCAGCGTTCAGCAGCACTCAGACAGCATGTCTGGTCAATTTATCCACACTACAATGTGAACCAGTTTGCTTCTCGGCCTTCTCCGCTGATGAAGATGAGGAAAGTGAGATGACCGTCACTTACTAAATTATGGACTTGCTCCCTCTGATCAGCTTTGCAGCAAGTCGTCAACTCCATTTTCATTGATGCTGTCCAGTTCACCAGCTTTTAGTCAGCTGGTAAACGGCTTTACACGGAGCTTTTGGTGTTTCCCTAAAGCTACAGTTACAAACAGAAAACATCAATGATATCTAAGTAGCAAATAAGTTGCTTAAAAAGAGTCATGTTTTGTATTAAAAACTTTATTTGCACCTCATCTGTACCAGAGGAAACATTTTCTCTTTGACTCAACTGTGACCTGCATTTCCCACGGGTATCGTACTGTATAAAACATTTCTGCCGTGGATGAAGCCAGTATAAATAATTCAGCTGTTTTTTTTAATGTGTCCACAATAAACTTGTTTTTTACATCAAGAAAATGGCTTTTCAAAAAAAAAAAAAAAAAACACTAAATGAGGGTGAACTTTAAACTGAACTTCCACTATTTTAACAGATCAACTTCTATAAAAAGATATTTCAGGAGTTAAGTAATAGATACTTTATTCTACTGGAGTCATTCTGTACATCCTCACTGCTTTTGTCATACAAAGACTCGTAAAGATTTGATTCTGTAACCACCTTAAAAACACAACAGAGCTGCTCACTGAAACGAGCCTCTTTGGTTTAATAGTCATCGATCTTGTACTCGTAGTTGTAATCCAGGACCGGTGTTGGAGACTGTCCCTCCCCTATAGCCCATGAGTCGTACCACCACGTTGTAGGAATTGGTGTTGTTGTGGGTGTGGTTGTGGTTGTTGTTGTTGTTGTCGTTGTCATTGTTGTTGTCGATCTTAACCTCATTAATCTCTGCTGGCGAAGGCGGTGGATGCGCATGATCCTGAGCCTCCTTCGCTGCTCAGGACTAAGTCGGGAATTTGTAGAAAACCCACTGGTGCCGCCACCCACATGTGTATTGCTGCTAACAACTGAAGGGTTGTGCGTTCGGCTGTTACTGTAGCTGAGTCTAATTGGCTTGTTGCCATGAAGGGCCATGATCTGTGAAGAAATGCATCGAAAACTTAAAAACTGCTGTAAGGTCGGCACGTTCTCATGAGGGTCAGGAAGGGTGTTACCTGTTTAATGCGGTGCCAGTTGGACTTGGCGAGGTTGAAGCTGCAGGCGGTTGCTCCGGACTCGTAGCCCACCGCGCAGAGTTTAGTCATGGGGGAGAAGCCTTCAGCTCGAGCTGTCACACGGTACTCCCCTGGATTGAGCAGCCGCCAGTAGTCTCCTGTAGGTGCTATAGCAGCAAAAGACAAACAGCTTTGGTTTAAAGTGTCTGAACTAAAACAGTAACTTATAAACAGGAGCAGAGTGTTCACCTGTGGTAACATCGTGGTTTATCTCCTCCACAGATATTGTGGCATTTGCGATTGGATTCCCCTGCAGATCTTTCACAACGCCTCTAATGCCACGATGCACCTAAAAGAAAAGAGAGGAAACATGGCAAAAACACGTTACTGAGACTTCTGTTTAGGTTTAATTCTTGGTAAAAACTGTAATTTTGCTTTTTCAGTGAGTAGACTTAAGAAAAAACCTCTACCCATGACACAAATTGCAGACTTCAACTTTAGCTGTTTTCACCTTGGTACATGTCAAGATTGTTTAAGAAATAGTTAATTTGTAATTTGATGTAAGAACTGGTTTTAAAGCAAGCTATGTTTATATGTTGACAATGAGTTTAGCAGTATTAAAATACCAGTCCGATACAAGGCAGGATGTTGCGGCCAGAACAAGTCTGGTTTTAACGTGACTTACCTGCTCCATGAAGATGAGCATGGCTTCTCTGTTTTTCTCCCACTCGTATGCCAGCTCGCTCTGATGAGGAAACTTATCGCAGCCCAAGAACACAGACAGCTCCAAGCAGTTGGTGTGCAAGTAGCTGAAGTCGTTCATACCTGAAGAGAAAACCACACTTTGTCCTGAGAACCTGCAGTGCACATGTTTCCAGCAGGGGGTGATCAAAGCGTGCACAATATGTTAAAGTTACCCATTTGGGTTCTACTCACTGCCTGTGACTGGCTTCCACTTGGCCCGGTTGATGATACCGAGCCCTCCTGCAGGCGGGTCTCCGTGGCATGACCCACGAAAGTTGTGCGTCATGGTCAGGTGTGTGGAGGCGTAGGAGATAGCCAGCCACCTGAACAGGGACTCGTCTGGAGTGACCCGAGGCTCATCTTCAGGATCGGTGTACTGGTACCCGGCACTTCTTTCTCTGTCATCCTCTTCTTCCTCCCTATGTTCATAACCCTGATTGTAGCCGTGTTCATAACCATGCTCGTAACCCTCATGATCAGATTCGTGGTCATAGCCGTGGCCTCGCCACTCCTCCTCTGGCTGTGCGTATCCTTGACTTCTCCAGTCCTCTTCAGGCTCCTCATGGCCTCTTCCCCACTCCATCACATCAAACTCTTCCTCCTCATACCTGGATAGAGAATAGATAAATGGCTCTTTGAATGAAACCAGATCTTGTATATTCATTTGTTTCAAAGAGCCATTCAATTTTTTTAAAAACAAAGTATTTTATTAAGTTTTTGTTTTTGAACACAAACGCACATAAAAAAAACAAAAACACCGAACAAAATCCCACCCGCACTGGATCAATCACATACACAAACAGTCCATGCAGGCATTGACATGTTTTCAGCAAATGACAGAAAAGGCTGCCAGGTGCCCCAGAACCTTCCTGTAGAACCCTCCAAGGTATATCAGATATTTTCCAGATGACTATAGTACATGACTTCTCTTATCCAATGTACATATGCTGGGTGGGTCCTTCCAGTTGCACAAAATGAGCCTCCTGGCCAGAAGAGAGCCAAAAACAATCACATCCTTCTTGTACTTGTTGAAGAATGTATCCACAGGGACCACCCTGAACAGTGAGATGATGATGGGTGTACAGTTTTTCTACATATTCCAGAGAAGGTGTCAAAAATAGATTGTCAAAAGGGCCGCAGTTTGTGACAAGTCCAAAATGTATGCAGGAGTGTAGCTGGAATTTGTTTACGATTACGTGCGGGGTCCAGGTTGGCTTTGATCTTGGACAACTTGTCTTTGGACCAGTGCAGCCAGTGCACCACCTTGAATTGAATTACAGCATGTCTCAGACAGAAGGAGGATGAAGAGCCATTCAATTTTGAACAATTGTGACATCACTTTGTACAATGTAAGGGTCGTTTTCTACTAAATCTCTTGCGCTTCTCTCCTTTGCCCATTAGTTTTACTATCACTTCAAAAGCAAGGCGTCTCTGCATCTAAGGAGGAAATTTATAAAAAAAAAGGAATGGCTCTCAAATGTCTGACTCCGTTCCCATCATTTGTTTTACAGAGTCGTTCGATGTTTCAGATCATTCTCAAACGTCACATCTCTACCCGGAAGTAAGAATTTTATTTAAGTTGGTATTTTTTGACATAACTATGACTAATGAAGAAGCGTTAAAGAAAAAAATCCAAAAGGAAAACAAAATCTGAAAAGCCTAAAAAATGGGATTTTAGAAAAAGAGGGAACAACCATGAAAAATGTGAAGGAAATGTCATACTGTCTCTTCCAGCGGCTGTGTGGTTTCTGGCTCTCTGCAGGCTTGTTGAGACGTAAGTTGTCATAAGGATAAGCTACGATTGCCTCCCCTCCTTGCAAGTTTGCACCCAACACAAATGGATGGTTTTTCATCCAGGAGATTATGGCTCTGGTTTCTGTAGCGATCTGGAGCAAAAACAGAAAGATAAAAACTATATAAACACAGGAGAAAATGTGCGTAAGCACAATCTATCTTCACTTTTGAAGATAATGTTGTTTACACTGGATGAGGCTAAAGGTTTGTACATGTGTTAATAAAACAGCTTTATACAAAGGGAGGGTTTTGGAGGGAAACCTTTGTATTTGAAAATCTGTAACTTTTCTTATGAATTGCTCCTAACTATTTTTTTTTCTTTTCCTAATTTCATTACCGAGCTATTAGTCTCAAAGTTCTCTGGTATGGGCACGTGATGGTTGGGGGTGAGTTTGGGCACCATGCCCTTATCCTCCGCATCCCACAAGATATTATTCAGCTCAGGAAAGTTCTGGTAGATGTCAAAGCCCTCCTCTGTGAAGTGTCCGGTGGTCCAACTACTGAGCTCTGAACCCTGCAGAGAGGGAGGAAAACACTGGTTCAAGGACACTGATATAAACTGGTTCATGGGACGGTTTGTTTCTCCGGTGTTTTTTGTTTGGGAGTTAATGTGGCACATGGTTGCTTTTCTTTTTTCTCCCCCTACTGACCACTTCAAAAGCTCTCTGATGTCCGTCAGGGTTGAGTGAAGGCACCAGGTGGATGCGCATCCCCTCAACCAGGCGCTGCGCTCTGGGGTTTCTGTCCTTGTACTCTTTGCACAGGTACTGCATGAGAAGCAGGATCATCTCTCTGCCCACCGCCTCATTTCCATGGAGACCTGCTGTGTAACGAAACTCTGGCTCACCTGAGGAGACACCCAAGAAAGATTGTTTTTGTGTGTCAGCACAATCTAGACGTCCATCTGGTATTTTATCAGGATTAAAACAATAATAATTCAACCTAAGCAGCATTTCAGACTCCTTCAAATTTAAATCAGTATTTGGTTACCACCAAAACAGATCATGTGGCCTGTTTCATGCTCATATTTTACCTATTTCGTGCTCCGTGGGGTTGCCAGAGATGATCATGGCCATGATTTCCCGTCCCTTAGAGCTGCGGCCCAGACTGTAAACGCTGGTGATGTTGGGACACTCTGCATTCACTGACTTCATGAGCTGAACAGACAACACCAGGGAAACAGTAACTTCACTACATGTTACATAGCAATCTGTAAGAACATGTGTTAATTAAAGTGGAATAAAGTAAAACCAGTGTTTGGGAGAATAAGGTTAGTCAGTGGATTTCAAACATTCAGCAGGCTTCTAAAGTACATGTGAAGATACTTACCTCAACCATCTCTGAGTAGCTGTGGTGTTTAAACTCCAGGTAATCCACCGGGCTCACTTCATTTAGTCTGTATAGAGCATTGCCTGAATCTGAGAGGGAAATGTAATGATCATGCTTCAGTCCCTTTAGGAAATGTTTTGTGGGTTCAGGAGCTCACCAGTCAGAGGGCAGCCCAGGACCTCCAGCCTCATACAGAGAGAGCCGTTCCAGCTCTGAGGGATGATTCGAATGTAGCGTGCCACCACAGGTTCAGCAAGCCTGTTCATGACAGGAGCGTCCTTGTCACTGTTTCCAAAAAACAACTGGACAAAAAGGGGGTCATGTGGAGGTCAATAAATCAGGAGAAAAGAGGGGGATTTGTAAGATTCTCCAAGAAGGTGAACTCACCCAGTCAGCATACCCATCATGAATTGTGGTCCATTCTCTGCTGTCGTTGCTGAAGGCCAGGAAGTAGGACGTCACATAGTCACTCCTGAAACAATACACCATGTGGATGTCATGTTGACTAAAGGAAATGAAAAGAAAACATTTGTGTCTTTGTTTGTCTCTTACTCGTTTAAGGAATCTCGCCCTTGAGTTACAACTCCAGTGAACTCTGTCTCCCTGCGAGCATCTATCTCAAACCAGTGAATCCTGTCCTCAGAGTTTGCACACCATGCCCCACCTTTCATGTTGTCTTCATCATCAGAACCCTGAAAACCACAGAGGCCAGATGTTATGCTCCCAAATCCTCTAGCTAATTGACATTTTTTAGCATAACATTTATAGGTAGATGGTGCACTAACTTGGATAGGCCATGGCAATGTATGTTTCTGATTTATGAACCCCGTTGTATTAGGATTCTCAGACTAACAGAAGTGACAGGCTCATCAATAATTGACTTGAGAGAGCTAAACATGTAGATGTTGACTGCTGTACCTGCATGTTGAGGCGTGCTCTCTGAGGTGCAAACCTATAATGAGACATGGAGGAGGCTGAAAGCTGGTCCGACTCGATCTTATGGGACTCCATCCCCAGAGGAGGACATTCTGTCACACACAAAGTCACACACAGTTAAATGAAAATGACAAGCATGACATGTTTGCAAAGTCTGATCACAATTTTCAGGTTTGAACACATGCTGACTTACTCTTTGGCTCTTTAAAAATGCGTGGTCTGTTCCTGGCTCTCTCCTCTGCCTCTTTCAGTTTCTGGGCTCTTTCTGTCAAAGGTTAAAACAAAAAGGTTAATGCAAAATATTTTGCAGCAACTTATTTTAATTTTTTTCTGTTTCTCTGCCCAAAAAGGCTCTAGGAACCTACTTATAGTATTTTATATTTTGTATTTTTTACTTGTGAAAAATCCTCAAAAGGATCTGAAGTGCTGAAGAGTTTTTAGTAAATTGGCTCAAGTAAAACCCAGTTCATCTTAACTCTAAAAAATTGAAGAAGACTATCATTATTGTTTTTTCTGACCCACTGAACTGCATGGAACATTGATATAATCATGTTTAATATTGCTAGCATGACAACCAGAAGTTTTTCTGGAAGTTGAGATATAAAAAATATCTTCAATTAATGCAATCACAAGTTGACAAATACTGACATATGTGCAGAGATGTGGGTCATTGTTACAGGTGGCATTTTCAGTTGACAGAAACTTGTGCTGTTCATTATTGAGTCCTAATTTGGGTTTTGGACTTCCTGTCATGAAGACAACAGACTGACTGTAAGTATTGGTTGTGAGACATCACTTTCCATCAAACTGAACACAGGTTCCTCAGGGATGTGTACTCAGTCCTGTAGTCTTCTCTCTGCTGAAACATATAGCTCTACTGCCAATGTCAGTATGAGCCAGCTCAGTGAATTTGCTGATGATAGATCAGAGGTGAGACTCATCAATGATGAAACACTTTTCAGAGCTGAGGTAGAGACAACTATTTATTCTTGAAAATTAACAAAACTAAAGTGCTGATTTCAGGAAATAGTCTTCTGCACATCAGAGATTCCCTCCTGGAGATAATCAGCAACATTAAATTTTGCTTATGATTTTTCCCAATTTGAGAATATTTCTTCTATTCGAATGAAAATAAAGGCAACTCATTTGAAGTTAATGAAAAACTCATTTTCTCTTGAAACCCAATTTGGAGCTGACTGAGACAGAGCGTGCCCTTTGACCCCAGGCTTGACAAGGTTATTTATCATCTGCTCTGACCTTAACTCCTCAACCATCAGCTAGAACTTCCTGCACACATCAGACGTGCATGTGGCAATAGTGATGAGCAAATGTCAGGATTTTCACTTTGACTCACAGAAACAATGTTCCCCATCTAAATAATGCCTTGTTGTCATTTTCCTTTATTACTTTAATTTGATGCAAGCAACGTTCTGCACTGATCTCTTTGCTTTTGTTCCAGTTTTGAACTTTCAACATTTTGTTTTGACTGGATGGATTTCCGTTCTTTTAGATCAAGTGAAAACAGAATCACAAAAAAAGCACATCTGCATTTTCTGCAAACAGTGAACGTGTTAGAATGCTGTTTTCTGTAAATGATTTTGCTCATGGGTCACAGGCCACATTCCCTGCTTTAGCAGCACGATTGTGCAGATAGATAGATTGTAAAAAAAAAAGTTCACATCTGGGTCCTCTTACCTCTCTCTTCCTGCTCCCTCTCTTTGTTGGCTTTTTCTCTCTCTTTCTCCATCCACTTATCATCTGTTTCATCCTCTTTCCTCTCTGCAGTAAAAGCATGAAAAAGATTGGTAATTTTATAAACAAAACACAAAAGCAAAGAAATTAATGTTTGGTTGATTTTTTTGTTGTTGTTGTTGTAAAATTGCTTCTTGGAAATAAATCTTATCCTGTTGGAAAGCTGTTTAATTTCCCTTAAATGGTGCCACATTTGTTACAAAAATGCATTTGTGGATTAAGTGGTAGAGTTGAGTTTGTGGGTTGTGCCCATGATAATCTTATCAAACCTCATCTGCAAATGTAAAACAGCCTAACTTGCTGCTGACTCTTGTTTGAGCTACTGGTACCCCAGTTGCTGACAATCAGGTGTCTTGTTGACACCACCAGTGAGCTACTTTATTTAGACAGGTTATTACCTAATTTTATTTTATTTATTGTTTCAATTGTTTTAATTATTTTTGTTTTCAGTGAAGCACTTTATGATGCTGTGTCTGTGAAAAGTGCTATATAAATAAAATATACTTACCAGTGGCAATCCTTTTTACCAGTCTGGGACCAAACCCTATCCTCCAATATTTCAATGCTCCCTCCAACAGAGTGGGGTTTATCAGAGACTAACCACCAGAATTAGGAAGGGGAGAAGGTGGATTGGCCTGCCTGCAGTCCTCACCTAAACCTTATTAAACACTTGTGGGAGCGGCATGGTCGTGCTGTTCATTCCAAAGTGACCAACACAACCACACTGGCTGACTTGTGACATGCTGGTTGAGGAATTGAATACCATCCCAAAGCAGTGTGTGATCAAGCTGGTGAGCAGCATGAGGAGGTAGTTTCAAGGTATTGTGGTTGTATATGACTTGTTTTGTAAGGTAAAACATACAAATACCTATTGAAACAAGAATATACATATACATACACACACACACACACACACACACACACACACACACACACACACACACATGG